AAAGGCCCTTGGAAGGAGGTTGCACTAAAAGGTACAATGAGCTCTCCAGTCCCTTTTATTTAAGGAGTCCCCCCTTCCCAAGGGTGATAAGTACATGCCAATTGTGCACGTGTTAAAAAGTTATATTATGAAATTGTAATCATAATGGTCTGAATGCAAGGAGGTATATTTCATCGTGAAAACATTGTATGCATAGCATACCTCATCATCATCATCATCATCAGGAAAAAAGCTAGTCAAACATGCAAACACAAGACAACGAAGAGAAACAAACACCAAAATACACAACGCAAAAAACCTTGAACCGAAGACGTATTTTCTGAATAAGATGCTGTATGGCAAACCTTTGTTTTAAGATAGGTATCCATTGTTTTGCAGAGGTTCACAAAATGTGGCCGGGTAGCGATTTGATATTTCCAGCAGCTTAACATCACCGCGTATCTAAAGAAAAACAATGAAATTTTCTTACCGTATGGGTTGCGTAACCACAACTAACTACAAAAAGACGATCCAAGATCGTAAGTCGGGCTACAGGGAGACGTGCTGTTTTGAGTGTTGACTATTCGTGGTGCGAAGTGTTTCTAAAAGAAATACTAAGGAGGTACTAAGGTCCTGGTTTGTGGGCGTGGCATAATTTTTTTTTCACCCCTGAGAGACACCAATTCTACAACAACGCACTCTCACATGTTTGGTGCAATGCCCTAAAAGGTATTACAGAAGCTGCTACTGTGGACCTTTTGAAGATGAACAGCTTAAGAGGAACCAAACCCACCTTTTTTAACCCCTAAATGCAACCTCGTTCCCAGGGCCTTTTCCGTTTGCTGGCCCCCAGCTAATTGAAAGGCCCTTGGAAGGAGGTTGCACTAAAAGGTACAATGAGCTCTCCAGTCCCTTTTATTTAAGGAGTCCCCCCTTCCCAAGGGTGATAAGTACATGCCAATTGTGCACGTGTTAAAAAATTATATTATGAAATTGTAATTATAATGGTCTGAATGCAAGGAGGTATATTTCATCGTGAAAACATTGTATGCATAGCATACCTCATCATCATCATCACCATGATGTTTATTTTGCACTATTTATATCATTAACTACAAGTGAGATAAAATAAAAGGAGAAAATAGAGAGAACAGAGTTTTACATATTGTAGGAAAGGGAGAGGTGTGTAGTGACCATAGTGGCAATTGCTTTTGAGATGGTCACTACCAGATGATTTCACGACGAAAATATTTTTTAAAAGCTAGCATAGTATATTTAAGATTTACAAAAGAGGGAAAATGGAATATAAAAAGTACTACATTAAGCAATAATAATTATTTATACTCTATTAATTGTACAATTATATACCTAATAAGGACCTTTCCTGATTTTCTCCTTGAATTAATTAATGCAGATATCAATAGTTGGGATTGTCTCACTCTCGTGCTGCTGTCTAACTTTGGATTTGCTTTTGTTTCTAAAATTTATCTGTAGCAGTCTTTTAATTTTTGGAGCGAACCATTATTTTAAACACAACCAAACCAAATTTTGTCGCTTTCTTTGTGTTTTCAGGGATTGTTTCGTCGTTAATTTGAGTGATTTCTTCGCTTGTCACGGATGCAAACCGGGACGCCATTTTTTCCCAAGTTGCTCAGAGGTAAATAGCAAAGGATATTCGGAGTTTGACCAGCCAATCAGAGCGCGCCTTCAACGCTATCCACTGTTTTAGTATATGCTAATACTTTTTGTCACATATATGTCAAATGCATGTCACATAGATGTGGCATATATTTTTTATTTATTTGTGTAAAATCTATATGTCCACATATATGTCACATAACTACACAGAGGTTCCAGATTCCTACATTTGACACGAGTCATGTGTGACATATATGTGACACATATGTCACATATATGTTACATGTATGTGACATATATGTCACATACATGTAACATATATTTCACATACTTATGTAGCAGATATATGTAAAATATATGTAGTTTTGGTAAGGGCAAGCTCTCTTTGAGAACCACACAAGGAACACATTTTGCATATTTATAAGGATTTGCATGGGAGTTTCTACAAGATATCCACGGAGATAGTTAAAAGTGAAAATATTAAATAAAAATGGCTTACCTCGTTCCATACGTGTGTTGTTTGTTCCTGGTGTAGTTATTTGACCGATTTCACTTGATTTAAGCGTTTTTTTTTTAAATCCTGGTTTAACCAGGATTCGAAAAAACCACTTAAATCAAGTGAAATTGGTAAAATAACGACACCAGTAGCAAACAACACACGTATGGAACAAGGTAAAATAAGCCATTTTTATTTATTATTTTCACTTTTAACTATTTCTGTGGATATCTTGTAGAAAGTCCCATAAAAATCCTTATAAATATGCAAATTGTGCTCCTTGTGTGGTTCTCAAAGAGGGCTTGGGCCGCCTGTGTTATAACAACTACGTTTATCCTCACTGATGTAAGTCCAACATGGCATCTTTGTTGTCGTTTCCCAGAGTTTGATCCCGAGGCACCTTGTATTCATCAGGAAATGTTCTCCTGTCTCTCTGTCCACATTTTCTGTTCACTGAGGACTCATTCGATTTCTGGTTTGATTCTAGAGAGACCTTCGCTAAATCATTTTATTCTTTTGCTATTTTGAGTTTGCTGAGCGACCAGCTCGAAATATACGCTCATTACACACACCATCTTTTAGAGAGGGTCTACTGCGAACGGTGTGTGGGTCCGTATGTTTGAGCGTAGAAAGATGACACAAATTGTTAACACATGTACTCGACATATCCACCATTTTCGAAATCGTGCAGAAAAGGTTGCGCATTAACTATTACGTGTCTGCGGTATTCCCCATTGCACGTGACGGACATTTGTGGAGAAACCCGATGGTAAACCTATAGTCAGTCGCCCGACTAATTACACCTGAAATACTAAGTTAACGAAAAAAGAAAATCGCTTGGTTTACCTTGTTACATTGCAGTTCAAATGGAGCTTGGATTAAAAAACCCAACTTATTCTGAATTTGACTCACCAACTTGGAACTGACTGAAGTGGGTGATGTGAATCTTTTTTTTTTTAATGTCTTTTTGTTTTGTTTTTATTTTTTTGTTTTGTCTTGTTTTGCTTTGTTCTGTTTTGTTTTGATTTTGTTTTGATTTTGTTTTGATTTTGTTTTGATTTTGTTTTGATTTTGTTTTGATTTTGTTTTGCTTTTGTTTAGTTTTGCTTAGTTGAGTTTTGTTTTGTTTGTTGTTTTGTTTTATTGATTTCGCAAGTTTGTTAGGATGACTATCTATTCAATCTGAACATATTTTAAGGTTTACGAAGTATCTACATCGTCATCACCACCATTATAGCTTTTTTCATCATCTGATAAATTAATCCAAGCTACAACAAACCCGACCACGATAGCTATCATATTGCACTTTGTTTATGTAACGTTATTTAATTTTTGTAGAATTGATGTTGAGCTCAGTATTATTCAAAAGAAGCGGAACTTACAAACTGTCGTCGATATGTTCAGGCTTTGGCAAACGGTAACCTCGATAGATTTTTCTCATTATCGTGGTTTCAGACCATCCTTCGTATGGAATACCTCCTGTAGACAAATAAAAGGGCATAACTGTTTTGTTGTAATCACTTACTTCTCAATGGGCACGATCGGAATAATTTCAATGTTAAAACGATGGTTATCGAGGAACATTCCTATTTACAAATAAAACAAAAGATAGAAAAAGAAACGTTTTCAAACAATGTGATGAAATAGTTTATTCATCAGCGACATTGAGTATTGCATTACTTCTCTCTAATGCAATGCTTTTGTAGCTGTTCATGGTATACCCTTCAGGCGTGTAGCATCCTTTATGCATATACGCACGTGCGTATTTGAAGTGACCAGAAAAATTTGAAAAAAACGTGTTTTCGGCAAGTTTGGTCAAAATAAGGGCAAGACGCTTTGTTCTTTTCTTGTATTCACACAACTAGTTCAAACAAGAAATAAACAATGCAGTGTTTTTCGCTCAGTTTACTTAGGTTTCTAGATCATATGCACTTGTGCGTACTTGAAAAAATGACCACGCTACGCCCCTGCCCTTTCAACTAGCAATTGTGCAAGGAGTTTCAGCAAGTATATTATCTGAAAGTAAACTAAGAAATAAGTTAACTGAGTACCGATTGTGAAGATTTCAAACAAGACTATGCCATAAGACCACCTGTGGAAGAAATAGAAGGATGACGACTCATGTCAACTAGGGTAGAAAAATAATCTTTAACTTAGATACTTCAAATGTTTTAGAATATGTTTATCAAGATATAAACAATGCCTTAAGGATAAAAACTCCATAGTCATTTATTTGATCTTTCATTTATCTTTTCATCTCTTTTTTCTCCCAATCAGTTTTTAAGTGTCCCTGTCTGAGAAAGTGTTCCAAAGGCCAAAAGTGGTGGTGAACCGATTTGGCTGTAACTTGGCAGAAAAGTTGAGTGTGATAAGATATTTCAAAAGCCACTTTGGCGCACTACTCTGACCATTTGTTCTGGAGTCTCAAGGGGGTCCCATTTGTGGCTCATAGAGCACTACAATCCAGCCTTCCAGTCGGCATTTTGAAAATGCTATAAAAATCCTTTGGTAAATTGGGCTACGAAATGAATTTGACCATGGACTCTACTATAGTGGAGCTTTTATTTCATAAATGTAACTTTGTTCTCAAGCAAATCGACAGAGAGGGACCTGGGGCTAAAGTTGGTTCTAACTTGAGGTCAAAATCACTACCCAAATATTTCTTCTTTTCAAACAATTAAATCATAACATTTACTTGCCTTGTTGCATAACTTTCATACCAAATCCAGTATGTACTTTAGTGACCCATTTATCAAAGTCAGTTGACAAAAAATTGGCTTCTCAAGGTTTGTTAGGTTTTTGCCACAAACTCTCCATGCCCCTCTAAGGCCAGGCAATATGGAATTTTTAGCATAATTTATGCTATAACAGACCTAATTCTTGACATAAAGCCTTGCTTTCGTATTTGGCGGGTGAAAATGAAGCATTAAAGCCAAATCAGTGTCATTATTCCGAAATACCTCGATTTATAGCTTACAAATCGCTTCCCATCGAGACTAAAACATGCCAAAAATGTTCCCGTGTTCAAAGATGGACATGAAACTGATCCTTGTAACTATCGCCCTATATCGCTCCTCTCAATATTTAACAGACTTTTTGAAAAAATTATGAGCAATCGACTGAAAGTATCTTTGAACAAGCATGACATATTTTACAAGTCACAATCGGTTTTCGTAAGCGATGTTCCACTGAGCATGTAATCCTCGATATAGTCAGCAAAATCCAGGCTAACATGGATCTGGGTATGTTCTCATGTGGAATTTTTACTGATTTTCAAAAAGCATTCGACACCGTTGACCACTCGATCCTGTTACATTACATAAACTCTGAAACAATGAAATATATGAACTTCATATATTTCATATATATGTTCATATATATTCAATATATAAGTTCATATATATTCTAATAATGAAATATATGAACTTCATATATTTCATTGTATCTGATTTATCACTTTCACGGGTTTATTACGAATCAATTTAACGGCCTGCTCCCAGTTGGCTTGTTAGCTCAATTGGTAGAGCGCTGCACTAGTATCGCAGAGGTCAGTGGTTCGAATCCCGTACAGGCCTGATTTTTTTCAGGTCTGATTTTCGCTATTGCTTAAATAGCGCTATCTACTGCGAGGATCGTGCACCATATGTATCTAATACCGCAGTTCAAAATATATGAACTTCATATATTTCATTGTATCTGATTAAGGAATCTTCTAAAACATATTTTCAAGAAAAGGATAACAACAATATTATTTCAAATTCTTCAAGTTCAGGATAATTATACTGACGAAGAACGAATAATCAATAATGTTTCGAAAGTTAAATCCAGTTAATAGTAGTGTATAACTCATGTATTCTTCTATTTATTGTCATGTGTTTCTGTTTCTGTATTTTTATCTCATACTGTCACTTCGGCTTTAATGATTTAATATTTAATTTCTGTTTCTTGTATATTTATTGAATCTTTTGTTGAGCAAAAAAAAACAAACAAACAAATGCTCTAAGAAAGCCACTGATTAGCACTACAAACACCAGAGTTTGGCAAAATAAAGGTAATTTTTTATCTTTGAAAACCTAGTACCCATCATAGAACAAAAATGATGATGTTCTCACCTAGATATGACAGATTTGAGGATATTTTTTAAACATGCTTGAATTTCCTTTGATTTATATCTTTCAGGTCATAACTCCATACATACCATACTCACAAACATGCAAAGTCTTTATATTTTGTCGGGCCAATTTCTTGATGCAATATGAAGTGAGCTTAACGAAAACGAACGTTAACAGAAGATCTATGGTTAGACTTTTCATAGCCTTGCTAGCTCTTACAACTACGAATGATGGCATCAGTAAAAGAGCAGGATGATACATACAAGGTGTAGTGAGTAGCGTCCAGGTGAATTGTGATTCATCCGATATCCCTGCTACGTCAAATTATCCGGCAGTAAATAAGAAACCCACAGTTGGGAGAGCTGGATCACAAAATATTTTGTATATATGCACGATTCTTCACAGTAAAGCACTATTTGAGCAATAGTGAAAATCAGACATGAAAAAAATTTCAGGCCTGTACGGGATTCATATGTGTTTCATATGTTTGTTGTTGTTTGATTTATCATCTACGGGTTTATGTCGAATTAAATTGATGGCCTGCTCCCAGTTGGCTTGTTAGCTCAATTGGTAGAGCGCTGCACTAGTATCGCAGAGGTCAGTGGTTCGAATCCCGTACAGGCCTGAAATTTTTTTCAGGTCTGATTTTCACTATTGCTCAAATAGTGCTTTACTGCGAAGGATCGTGCATATACACGTTTCATAGCCGCAGTTCATACATATGTTTCATATGTTTGTTGTTGTTTAAAATATTTTGTGTTGTAGTTTATATAAACATGTCATGCAACACCTCGAGATGCGATTGTTATTGTATCGACAGGCCCGCCATATTGGACGTGAGAGTGAGAGGACTGGACCAAGTCGAAGAGTCACGCAACCTTCACTGAGTTTTGAGTAACGCGGGATGGTTGATCTTCAGTTTGCTACCCGTAGAAGAGGTTCATATCACAACACCTTACGATTAGCACTACCTATAATTTCTACGTCAAAAAACTCGCAAAATGACTGCAGTTGACTGAGTTTTTGCTTTTGCAACATCTTGGCTAACCTTCCCTTGGCGGAGATTCGCGAAAGTTGAAATTTTCATAAAAAAACCAACTGGAAAACAACCGAACTAATTTGGAACATGTGTCCTAAACTCTTTTCGTAGGAAAAAAATTAAGGAAAGTTTTTTTTTGACGGGAAGTTCAGAGGACCGCTCTTAGCGAGAGTGGCACTTAAAAAGCCATTTACTACATTTATGCGCGTGTATGAGCCCTTTCTGATATTTTGAATTACCTGTACTTGTAGCTTTGGTATCGGCCGTTCTTCCTCTCGCCCCGGACGCACCTGACCCCTTTTACTTGTGTTTTAACTAAGCAGTTATGTCATTATCGCAAGACGACAAAGGAGTCATTCCTGTCTCGCGCAGAGCCGATGACGCGTCACCGCACTGATCATTTACCTCTCCAAAGGACCGAAGCGCCATCGTAAAGTTATCCTGAAACTTGTTATCGCTACACTTTTAATACTTGATAAGGACACAAGCAACATTTACGCTTGAATAGGAGGATGAATGGCAACTCGGTCCAGTCCTAATATTCTCACGTTCAAAATGGCGGGTCCTATTGGCATCATCTCATGTCTTGTGTGGCATATTTCATTAAAACATAAATAATTTTTTGTCATCCAGCTCTTCTGACTGTGGATTCCCTCTTTGTTGGATGGTTCCATCTATTCAGTTCTAAAGTACCTAAGATCTCTGGCGGATCACAAGTTACCTGGATGGTGCTTACCGCGACACGTAAGCTTATGTTCGCATGGTATTTGCCGGAGCTATTCAGTCTATTCAGAGGTCAGACGTAGAACATCTTCTAACGTTTCTGGTGACTTTAATTTCTGGCCTGAAAAACCATAGAGACTTTACTTGCTTGGAGTATAGTAGGTATGGAAATATGGCCAAACAAACATAGGTCAGAGAAAATTCAAGCATCTTTAAAAATATTGTCATATCAAGGTCAGAACATCATCATTTTTGCTCTATGATGGGTACAGGATTTTCATAGAAAAAAAGTTACCTTTATTTTACCAAACCGCTAGGTGTCTGTAGTGCTAATCAGAGGCCTTCTTAGAGCATTTGTAAGCAATGAGTCGAGGTATTTCGGAATAATAACACTGATTTGGCTTTAACGTTAAATTTTAACCCACCAAATAAAAAATTAAGGCTTTATGTCAAGAATTTGGTCTGTTTATAGCATGAATTAGGATAAAAATTCCATTTTGCTTGGCCTCAGAGGTGCATGGAGAGTTTGTGCCAAAAACCTAACAAACCTTGATAAGCCAATTTTTTCTCACCTAGTTTGATAAATGGGTCACTAAAGTACATACTGGATGTGGTATCAAAGTTAGGCAAGAGGGCAGGTAAATGTTAAGGTTTTTTAAAAAATAGCAATTCTGGGTTGTGATTTTGACCTCAAACTTGACCTAGCTTTAGTCTAACTGCTCGAGAACAAAGTTACATTTATGAAATAAAGGCTCCACTTTAGTATAGTCCATGGTCAAAATCATTTGGCAGCACAGTTTACCAATGGAGTTTTATAGCACTTTCAAAATACCACCTAGAAGGATGAATTTTTTGGTGCTCCATAGGCCGCAAATGGGACCCCCTGAAACTCCAGAACAACTAGTCAGAGAAATGAGCCAAAGTGACTTTTGAAATATCTTATCACACTCAACTTTTGTGCCAAGTTACAGCCTATTCAGTTCACCACCACTTTTGGCCGTAAGAACACTTCCTCAGACAGGGACACTTAACTATTGCCCGTTAAACTCAATACTCATCCAAATCTTATGCTGTAGTTGTACCCTCAGATTTCCCGGCTCGACGTATCCTAATAACACTCTGATCAATAATGCACTGATTATTCTCAACCCTTAAATACGTTAAGTGAGCATCGTAAACAGGTTGATAATGTATTTTAATGTCGAGTGCACTACGTACACATCACTTTTGGTTGACAGCCGTTCCACATGGCCATAAAGAATCTCGGGTGCACTCCATTTGATTGGGATACATCCCTGGTGAGTATTTAGAATACTATAAGCATATGTAGTTTAAAGACACTGGAATGAAATTTCTGAGATATTTCACATAAAGATTTATACCTTTTTTCACCAAAGATGCGAGGAGTCGCGATAAATTCAAGAGGAACAGATGCGTTTCTACAAATTTCTTTGGATCCAGATCACATGCTCCTTTTTCTTTACATCTCCTGTGTTACTGCCTTGGACATGTTTGAGTTGGTATTCTTGCACTTAAAAGAGCATTTATGAACTCTCATTTTCTTATTCCCTGCGTTCACCCCTTTGGTACAGTGTACAATTTATATTTTGTTTGTGTGAAAGTTTTCAAACGCTAAGAATAGCATTTCGATGAGGGAAACATGTTTGGCGGTAAAACGATATATCAAAGGCTCTGTGAGCCAACTTGTGAATTGGATAAGCCAATGTAATTTGTGCCGTCAATAGAAATGGGTGTTTGATTTCCATACTAAGGTATGAATCGTTAGACTGGTAAATGAGCATTATGAGGAATATGATGTGAAACTAAATTAGGCCTCAAATACAGAAAATATGGCCTGATTAGGATTTGGTGCAAGACAGTCACTGTTCCAGATTTTACTGTAAAGGTTTGTGGAATGAAAGTTCAAAAGGGTGCTGTT